AGACCTAGTCCGCCTAGCCTGCTAGTAAAGTTGCGTTGTAAACACGCGTACTTGTAAGTTGTAACGTTATTATTAGGCCCATACATACGATTGTTAACAAACGGTTCGTGGAGGTCATTAAATTCTAAGAACAGGTTCGTGCGAACCGGCTGAATCCCACCACTGGTTATATTCCGGAACAGTATTATGTACCTAATATTTTTTGGTATTTACTTCTTAAAGAAGAACCTGTTTAACTCTTTCACTGTCATAAGCAATAAATACTTTGTAGCACCACATAAAAAGGACATTTTCCTACAAATTTCATCAGTTTCGGTTAAGTAATGAAGTATTAAAACGTGTCCTGTTATTGGGTATCTAAATATAAACCTGGCACTGTAAAAGAATTAACAATGACTCACTTTTATCTAAGCTAGCTGAAGGTACCCGTTATGGAAGTGGAAAGTGTATAGAGAACAGTGTTGGATAATGTTCCCCTCCCTATATAGATATATTTACTTTATTATTAAATGTAAGATGTTAATAAGAGGGAATCCTCAATAGCCGTGGCACTTGAAATTCTTTTAGGCAGGATTAGAGTGATTTAATCTATGAGACCTAAGACGTGTTCAAATACATCTATCGAAAGGGTTTGACTTCCCGAGTCCAAAACTGTAATTAGATCTCAAATTGTCCAAGATATGACGGAACTATGAACTAAAGATTTGTACTTTAAGAAAACTCGGAGCCATTCTATGAGCCGCTGCTAAAAAATCTCGGAGCCGCTATGCCACAGCGACATACCCTGCTTTATGGAAAGTAATAATCGACTCATTTAACTGAATAAGCACTCGTATCATTAAATTAAAAGATAAAAGTTATATTAGAAAATAGAAATGTGTCCTATTTCGATGTGTTTTTTTATCCTCCTCTTGGAGGAAAATTCCTAAAACAAAATAGCCCACGTACACCGTTCAACAGTTTCCATTTACCATAAAAACATCACGATGATCGAGGCAGCCGGGCGATGGATGTTAAAACACATAATGGATAATGTTTAGAGTAAGATTCACTCGTCTATAAAAGATATGACTTTAGTGAAATAACGGTAATGGTTGAGAGTAAAACAATATATGAAGTCATTGTATAATATAGAAGAATATAAAATAACGGCGTGGAATAGATTAGAAAATAATAATAAACAGAAGAACCAATAAATTCTGTAAATGTTTCATCTTTAGTGTGTACAACATTTTCCAATATTTAACTTAAGTTCATTTATTGGACTTTTATCTTCTGCTCAGTGGCTTAAGAAATAATTCATTGTGTAAAATGAGAATTTATAGTTTCTGCTGTTAATAGAAACTACGCACTCAATGTTGACTGATTTCAATCTAACACGGTATATAATGCCTGACGAAAGGCGTTTGTCAGAAACGTCACATAAGTTAAAATAAGAATCCAGTTTTCATTTAGATGTTTACTGTCTAACCTATTATTACTTTTCACTATGTTGTTTCTGCTCACGTTTTGCCAGCAGTTACTTAAGAAGTCATTGAATATAATGTATCATGGTTGTTACAAGTTTACTTTAACTATAAACAAGTTCGACCATCTTTAATTTACCTATATCTCTGTACAAGAATTATTATCTTTCGCGTATATATTTAAAACGTGGCTTATGCTGTGCAGTTTCAAGTTTGTTCATTATATTAACTACTACACTATGGCTCAGCAACACGTATGGCAACATATAACCGTGAAATTTATTCGATCCCTATGATGAGCACAGTGCAGACAGCCCATTGTGCCGCTTTGCTCTTAACAACAAACAAACGGGTATGTTAATTCTGGTGCCTTATTTATTTTCTTTAAACCTTGTTACCACAGAAACTACTTCAACCAAGGTAAGAATGTCTCTGGCTGAAAACTTGTCTCATTGCCTTTCTAGGCAACCCATCACTGAACTTTTCTACGAGGATATTCTCACAATTTATGGAAGCAATTGCAGGATATTTCTTCCCATATAAATGGCATAAATAATTTTGAACCTTGAATTTGTCTTTATGGATAGCACTACTCTCCACTAGGTCAAATTGTTGGCACAACTGTATCCTTGTTCCAGAATTGCTCCTCACTCATGTGCTCAACTAATTTAAGTGCTGGACTATCCTAACTCGAGATCAAGCTTTGCACTGCTTGCTTCTGAGCCCATTACAAACAGTTACCTGCTTGAAATACTTCATAAAATGATTCAGATCCTTTTTAGCTACACTCTTAAAGATTGGAGGAAAGATCTGTTAAGCTTTGCTCACAGAGACATTTGGATTCAGCTAACCCTCACACTCTCACTCAACGCCAGGTTGAAATGTACAAAACGTACATTAGATCTCTGCTCTGGTTCACACAATGACAAGCTGCCAAAGACAGTTCATCCATGGGTGCTGCACGATCCAATGTTTTCCTTGACCAATAGTCACATTAGCAGCATGCCTTCTATCACAGAAAGCCTCATAGGTCACTATTTTCGCCATTCAGTGCCTGCTGTTTCACCTGGTGATGAAACAGCTTAGGCTGGCAGACATCATTCACCAGTAACACGCCCTATCTCTCTCAGCCGATATCTACCAAAGACGATGCTGCGATATCCTGTTGGGGATGCCTAAGATTCTGGTAATAACTATGCTATTTGATTTCAGACTCACCAGACCACGAGGCACCAAGATAATCCTGAGTCAATCATGCTTTATGTCCATTG